AATATATCATACTTATCAGTCCGAGCAGCGTTTATTTATTTATAAACTACTATTTTGACTCATACCTAACATGTCAAACTAACTCATACCTCACATGTCAAACTGACTCATACTCCACATGTCAAACTGACTCATACCTCACATGTCAAACTGACTCATACCTCGCATGTCAAACTGACTCACACCTCACATGTCAAACTGACTCACACCTTACATGGCAAACTGACCCACACTTCAACAAGTCAAACTGACTCATACCTCACATGTCATTATTGATTAGCCAAATGGTATTGAAAGCAGACTTCTGTCTCTATATTTACTAGTGGCTAGTAAATGCTTTTCAGAGTGTTGAGATGAGCTACTGCCATGGTATTGATTAGAATTAGATTAGAAGAGTGAATTCACTACAGTCAGTAAGAGTCACCATGACTTTCGTGGAATTTTGTTCCGGCAAAGGAATTGCCATATGATCATAAAATTATGAACATTGATTTCTAATATGCCATAAATTGAGCAGATTACAAAAGCTTGAATTATGTTTATATTGATTACAAGATCTTGGTAAAAATAAAACTGACAAAATCATAGAATGTTTTCCCACATGTGAAACAGATCAAATGAGTATGTATGCAGAAAATAATAATACATTTTTTTGTATTGTCAACCCCAGGGACATTACTTTGCTCTGATTTCCGATAATTTGTTGTGAATTTCAAGTAAGTTTGTTATAAATACATCTGTTGCTATCTTAGTTTTTGTTTTCTCATTTTTTTTGTTCAAATTGATCATCTTCATGAATACTTAATTGCATTATGTAAAAATTAGTGATATAATTTGAAACAGACGCTATCAGCATACCTTTATGGTTCCCTTTGAAGACTGGTACACCTTGAGAAGAGCTGCAGTGGCAAATCTGACACCTGACGGACTGAAGAAAACAACAAATTCAGGTGTCCCCTGTAGAAAAATACAAATGTATAGTTACAGCCAAGCTTAGCCAATCAACTAGCAGATCCAACAGATGCACCTTTATTTAGGATTCAAAGCTATTGGTAACCATTTTGTTTTTATTACAATTTATAACCCCACCAGACAAATTTAAGGTCTTCAAAGTGTAAAATTGTTAATCTCATTCATTAAAAGAAAACTGTAATCACATGGTTTGGCAGCCATCTTAAAAAATTGCCTTTTTCGATATTACACGTGGTTTTAACCCTTTGAATATCAATGTGATCATTCACAAAACATGCATAATTTTGTCCTTATTTTTTTCAAAATTTTTTATTAAAACCAGTAGACAATAGGGAATTGTGTCCAACGAAATTATATAAAAATAGAATTTAAATCAAATTTTGCAGTAAAAATTAGCGCATGTTCAATTGGTTAGGAAGTATTACATCAACTTTAAAATAACTTACATGTTCATTTTTGTAATCTTGAATAGCATTTTCTAGACATGGGTCAGCAATGGTTCTATAAACTTCAACAGTAGAGTAATTTATATCTAGAATAAACACACAATATTACAGTTATCTAACTCATATTATTTCTATAGTTACATGTTCAGTAAATTATGGATAAGGTATCATTGCTTTTATAAATCCCTGAATGTGAATTAAAAATGCGTAAAACAAATGATTTTCAATAACAATTGGTTGAATTTCAATGAAACCCAAAAATATTTGAGTTGAATTTGTAAAGATTTAAGCTTTGCCTTTGTTCCAAATATAAACAAAAAGTGCAAGAAATTGGTAAAACAAAACCAACATGGGACTATATTGAATCAAATAATTAAACAAACTAACATGCATCAGAAAAGTATCATGTGATCTTCATACCAAGTTTGAATAAAATTGGTTGGAAAAATGGTTGGTGACAGATCTATATAGTTTTTCTGGACGAAAATGGATTCCAGTCAGTCAAATGTTAACAAAATGAAAAAGATATGTATGTGAAATTGACAAAACGCATTTGAAGGGGAAGGTGAAAAACTTTGCAATTCAAAACAAATGAATGTATTCCTAAAGTAACCGTTGAACAATCATTAAAAGATCCCACAGATAAAGCTAGAAAGAGTATTTTTTATAACAGTACTGGTAACTCATAATTTATGACATACCATTTTAATGTAGTAGCATAAACTTGTTTAACTTGCTGGGATGCAGAAATTAAAATTCAATGTAGGTAGAGATGCAAATTATAAAAGCAAATTATATGTAAAGTGTATGTAAATTATATGCAAGTTGTATGCAAATTACACATGAAAATGTATTCAAACCATGTTCAGATCTCACAAATTCACTAACGAATACTTACGTTTTGACTCTAGAGTCACAGGTATTGTTTCTCGTTTCAATGTTCCACAAGGGAATAAAAGTGGTTTAGATGCCGGCTTCACCTCTGTAAATGACAAGCGACAAAACAGTCAGATGGGATCTAAAAATGTATATGGTTTTATACAAACCAAACATTTCATCATAAAATGTATAACTTTATAACTACCAATATTTTGTATTGACTTTTGAGGGCAAGCATTCAGAGTACCCACCAAATTCAGAATCAACTGTTATCAATAATATAGGCCTATTATACCAAAAAACAAGTTTTGCTTCCATTGACAACCTGTACTTCACACATTTGTTTGCAATTTTGCACATGAGTGACAGGATGTTTTGTTGATCAACCATTAATCAACCAATCAGTGCTAGTATTCTAAAACATTATTTAATAATATTTAAATTTTCTAATAAACATGTCTCCCTCTC